CTAAAAACATCAAAACAATTTTTTGAAAAGTTTGTTGTTCTAATTTAATTTAATTACAGAATCACTATAATTTTTCGATGATCAATTTAATTAGCAATATTTATAAAAATTGTATATTGGATTAGTGGATATTTATTATCCGAACATCTGAACGGTTTGTCTGCAACTAAAGGTCTATCAATTAACCTGCATTCTTTTATTGAATCTTATAGCACCTGAGTTTGTTTAAATACCGTGAAACAATGCGAAACAATAACAAATGAACGATTATATATTTACAAACAGCCGCTCGTGTTAGATCTCTATAATAAAAAATTATTCCAGCTGAGTAGATGATCGTGACAAAAGACTAATGTATATAAATTGCATTATATATGAATTGTTTAAAATGACTATTAGGATGTTTGTTCTTTGTCCGGACTACTGATGTAATGTTGTATCCTTGTTGGTGATTAATGGTTTAAGTTGATGGCGGATTTTAGATGACGAGTAGGGTTGGCAATTGGTAGATTATCAATTTTTAAAAATCTGTTTAAATCTATTCTACGATAGCACCTTCTTAGATATTATGTATTTTGATGTAGTAAATCATTGCAGATTCTTTTTTCGAGACGCTTTGGTGGTAAAGGCTTGAGCAGGTCTTACGCTAATTCGTTTGGATGACGACTTATACGAGCTTTGTATCTGGAGCAGTAATGATTAATTTCTTTTTCTATAGTTGGAATTCTGAGATCTTGATGTATTAACCAGTTGAGGACATATTTTGGAGCGTTCACGAATGCCTTTTGCACCTAGTTTCACATATTATAAATACTTCTTGTATCCAACTTCCTTAATAGGAAGGTGTGGCACTTACTGAAATTGTAGTATAATTTGCAAAACACCTTTTATAAGAAACAACATTGTACTTATGTATAATTATTATGTTACTTCTGAATGGTTTCACTTGATATGTTAATTACGAAAAGAATTACGATAAAATATGTAGGTTTATCCCATAATTGCATCTAAGTTGATAAATTGCTATGATAATGGATTCAAGTAAATTTGTGTCTATTCTTATAAAACAAATGTGATTCGGGAAGGATTAATTGGAAGTTATATAAGGAAAATGATTTTATCAAATTAATTAGAATGGAGATTTTTCATTAGATATGTTTTACTCTATCTGAAAGTGATGATGAATTAGGAATTCCAAGAAAATAAAATTCCTAAAATTTTGATGGTTCTGGGCTCAATTCTGATTTACAACGAGTAGTTTTTTATTCGTAATTTGGAAGAATTGGTTGAAAAATGACGTCAGAAGTGATCATAAATTATTAAAAATCTAATTCAAGTTTCTTTCGGTTTCTGAGAGTCTGGTTATTGAAAAGAAAAGCGCCACTGGATTTAAGCCATCAACTCCCTTTATAAACAATGGAAATAACTTAATCATTATTTATAAGAATTGTTTTTTCCAACATGACCTTGTAGTATACAATGTCCCTTTTCGGCCGACTATTGTAAATTCATCAAATTTATTGAATGTCCTTTACTGGACAGTTGTAAATAAAAGAGATATTAAAAAAAAATATCATATCTTTTTAAAATTTATATATTTAAACACGCAATTAAATGAGGTTTTTAATTTTTATCTGAACATACTTTTTTAAAATAAAAATATTGTGTAATTTTGAATGCGGGTTCATAATATTTCATGCTAAAGTGCGGGTTGTGATCTATTAGATGTCCCTGGGCTAGTTTAAAGCTTAATTTATTTAAGAACACTTATTTATTATCACGACTAACCATTATATAAAATTAATTCCGTTTTAAATTATTAACTTCCCGTAGGGTAAGTTATAGTAATCGCAAAAAAATCGAAAATGAAAATTTTTATATATCTTTACGTTTCAAAGGTTTCTGAATATTTTGGCATACCTTAGAAAAAATGGATGTATGTGTGTGTGTGTGTGTGTGTGTGTGTGTGTGTGTGTGCGTGTGTGTATGTATGTGCGGATACAAATTTTCGTCGACGATTTCGGGAACACGGATCAACCGATTTGAATAATTCAAAAAACATTCGATTCGTATTGATAAGGAGACGTGCTGATTAGTTTTTGGCGAAAGCAGGTCTAGCCGTTCCGGAGATACGGGGCAAAAAGTGCCGAAAACGGTAACTCAGTTTTTAAGAGAACGGAAAGTCCGATTTTAATAATTCAAAAAACATTTTACTTGTATTGACAAGATAAAGAATTGATCAAATTTTCATAAAGGCAGGTCTAGCGGTTTCGGAGATATAACGAAAAAAGTAAAAAAAAATGCCATTTGGCGGTCAAAAATGATCATTAGACATATGCACATCAAATTTTCAGATATTTATAGAGATTTTAACAATAAGTATAAATTTTGTTTATTTTCCTATGGGTTCCGTATCAATGTTTACCCGTTAGACAGCGACGCCGCGCTTACGCGCTTTATATTTCATCTCTATGCAGTTAAAGCAGTACGATTGCTCTGAAAAACAAGTTCAGATCTTCCAAAATATGTCAAAATAAAGAAAACATTTTTCTTAAAAAAAAAAAAAAATTAAAAAAAAATTTTTTTTTAAAAAATTTTATTTAAAAAAAATTTTTTTTTCAAAAAAAAGTAATTTTTTGTCCAATTTATAGTTTCTCAAAAATATTATTTTTTCGAAGTAAATTTTTTTCAATTTTTCAATTTTAATCGTTTTTAAAAAAAATAATAATTTTTGGTACGGGAAGTTCCAGCAATTTGCCTTAAGGCACGATGCCCTAATTACCTTAAGACAGAATTCCACTTACAGCTAGTTTTGTCCATTTTTCCTAAAGTGTTTTTCCTCCGTACTACAATAACTTAACTAACAGTATTCATGTATTGAAAAATTACTTAATGCATTAAATTAAAAGAATCTTCAATGTTTATTGATCGGAACTCTGTATTGTAATTTTCAATTAATAAACAAGAAACAACGTAGTACTATTTATTAGATTCACATACTTTGACGGATTTATTGGCGTGTTTATTACAAAAGCTTGTTGAGATAGTTACTCATCTTTGATAAACGAAAACGTTTTTTGCTAGAAATAACTTCATACAAGATAATAATAATAGAACATCATTTAGTTTTTATTTATTTTATAGTACTAATTACTGTACATCAATAATAGTCTATGAGGAATTTAATATATTTCTAGACGAGACGACGCGTCTTTAACAAAAAAAAAACATAGTATGGATTAAAAATTAGAAAAATAAAATACAATTACTAAAATTGATCAAATGTTCAATTAAATCGATGATTAAATATTTGATTACGATATGAATTTATTGTTGTTCTGTAAGATTAATCGACCGAATTTTTTTATCGATATATATTTATGATATGAAAAATAACTAGTGGTGTGTATGGCATCGTGCTGGAACTTCCCGTACCGTAACGAAATGTCCGAAGAATATTAAATATTTTCAAATGGATTACTATAAATATCGTAATATTGTCTAATATTTATAAGAATTATATAAACTGAATTACAAAGTTGAAAATATTTGTTTAAAGTATATTAGAACTTAAGTCAGAATCTGAATTATTTTCGATCTACAAAAAAAATGTTATTTTTTTTTCAAATGCAATTATTTTGTTAAAACAAGCAGAAAGTTCTTTGAATAATTCAAATCGGACGCTTAGTTTTCTCAAAACTGTCATTTTTAGCACATTTAGCTCTGTAACTCCGTAACGGCTGGACCTGCCTTTGCTAAAACTAATCACCACTTCTCCCCGTCATTACGAATTGAATGTTTTTTGGATCATTCAAGTCCGATGCTCCGATCTCTCAAAAACTCGATTTCTATTTTCTGCATTCTTTGCTCCGTATCTTTGAAACGGCTGGACCTGCCTTTGCCAAAAACTAATCAGCACATCTCCCTATCAATAGGAATCGAATTTTTTTGAACTATTCAAATCGGTTGACGTGCGCCCCAAAAACGTGACCGAAAAATTGTATCCACACATACATACACACACACACAATCCATTTTTCTGAGGTATGCCAAAATGTTCAGAAACCATCAAACCGTGAAGAAATGTAAAAAATTCAATTTCGATTTTTGGATGATTACAATAACTTACCCTACGGGAAGTTAAAAATATCAAACATATTCGAATAGTCATTTTTCTAATTATGAAAAATATACGCACATGTAGGTTGTTTAAAAATATTTATTTTCTCTGAACAAATATTTGTTAACACTAAATAAATGACATTTTTTGATAAATTTTGAATTAGATTTTTTATGGTTTATGTACATGACGACCCTGATCGTTTCTGATGACAAAAAATAATAAAGAACAATTAAACAATTATTAATAACATATTTGCATTAAGAAGATATTTCCGATAATTAAAATTACATAATGGCCATCTTTGAGGTATGTAAATATATGCATCTACAAAATATATAGTACACGTAATAAATAGATACATGCATAATAAACTTTAGTAAATAAAAATTAAATGTCACTTTAAATCTTAATCAAGTTAAAATTTTCAGTGGTTTCTATATAATATTAATTATAATTATTTTAATCATAAAATAAAATTTTAAATTATATTTGCAATTGTGTTTATTTATAAAGTTGAGTGCATTATGACTGATTACAGTTTAAACAAACTGATTTAATACCTAAATTATCATACATCACATGTTCAATAGTAAAATTGAAATCAATACATTTTTTATAAAAAATATAAATTTGCCTATATCAGAACAGTCTATTCATAAAACTATTCTAATATAACAAGGTAGTTCAGAAAATACATATTTTCATTTAAAACAATTATATTACATATTAAATAATTTTAATTTATCAGTTATAAAAAAGCTATAATTTTCTATATAAATAATGTCTTTTATGTAAATCTACTCCTCGATTTTTTGCTCTCTTAAAAGATATTTCTGTCGTTATATACCCTGTCATACCTATCCAAGGACTGCTAAAATTATATAAATTTTACATCTGTCCTGATGATGAAGGTACTATAAGCGTAGGCAACAATAAATCCTAGAGATTCCCATAGACGGAAATTGCTATAGGCTGCTTCTTCTCGGCCAGGGAAAAGAATTCCACAATATGCTGAAAAAGTAAATCATAATCATTATAATTGATACTTGAAAAGAAACAAACCAAATGAGTCTACGTAATTTTTTGAACGAGAAATTTTGGCAACATACTGCTACTGCCTTATATTGAGGAGCTGGTTGATGTTGGAGTCGAAACAGGGACTAATTTGTGCTAGCCCACGTGATAAAATAATGATTTTCACAATTGTGTTCTATATTTACCATTAATTTGTACAAGCCAAACTCCATCAACAATTCCCCAAGCTCCAGAAAATAAAAAGTAGACATATTGGTCAACTGGATTCGGTTTCCATAATAATAGCCCAATTGCAATTCCTGTATGAGCTATAGCAGCTGCACAAACTATTGGCAGTCTTCCTGTTATCTTTAAAAGAAATTAATCAATTAATTATGCTTCTTCAATTATGATTTTTTGTCATCAATTTTGATGTCAACAGTCACATGCTGGTAGCAACGTTTGCATAAGGAAACATATTTTTTGTATAAATAAACGTATTAAATCGTTGTTCGACTTATATCATATATGTTAATTTTCACATCACGAATTTATTTAATATGTATAAATAACTGTTAAACCAAATATTTGTCACTTGGTTCACCTTAATGATTTACCTTGACTAACCATCCCAGAAAAATTGCTGATATTGCATTGCATACTCCATAACAGATCATCACAAATCCAATATTATGATGCCCCATGCACAGGATACATAAGCCTATTGGAATAAAATAACAAATTATAAATTTGAAATTTGCATAATAACCAAAGCATATAATTATATTCGCATATTGGAGCAAATCAGTAGGTAATATATTTTTCATCTCCAGTTAGTAGGTAACCAAATGCAGGAAACACGATCAATTAAAAGATTCCAAGACAGTTTTTTATTATATTCATTATTATTAATTTAAAATTTATATAAT